ATTAGGTTCCTCTGTTGGCCTCAATGCTTTTCTGTTTGCTCATGAGGGCTAGTTTTAATTTCTTTCCTCCTTCTCAAAGATCCCATTACAATATTTTTCTTCTCAACTATATTCTTTTTTTTAAACTCTAGAATCAAATAGCCATGTGAGGAATTGTATGTTTACAGCAAGAAAGCAAAAAGGCTTCAAGATGGTATAGGAACAGCAGGTCCACTAGGGTTCACCTACAAAATTTTAAATTAGGTTTTGTATATACATGTGTGTATGTGTGTGTGCATGTCTGTGGGTTAGAGCAGAGCACATATTTGTACATTTTTCATACTGTCTTCTTAGGGATCAACAATCTGTGTCCTGAAGCTATTACAGTCTGAAAAAAGAAGCAGGCCAAAACTGAGAACAGTAACACTGATGAGATAACTATCACAGGATTACATACCAAGTTATCAGCAGAATTAGGAACACATATTCACACCTTCTTAATTTCTAGTCAGAGTTCTCTCCACTAAGCCATGCTAAGTAACAGAAAAAGTATCTCATTAACTTTAGTAGGCACTAGCCATGTTTCAAAATGAAAATCAATTTAATGGAAGGAGAAATGTGACAGGTATGAATAATAGGTCCCTAAGTGTAACAAACTAAGGGATTAAACAAAACCCAATCTTAGTAAATTAGTACAAAAACTATTGGAACCCACAGCAAAACAGTTTCTACATAACAAAGATTTCACAGTGCCAAACTGTAGGAATAGAAGGACTTACCAAAGCATTTTTCTAACTGGTTTATTGCAGCATCTTCTGTGCAGTCAAGTCTTGAATTTCTACATTTGAATTCAAGTAAAGAGCCTAAAGTATTATAGTCTTAAAAGAAACCCAAACAAACAACAAAAACCCCCCACGTAATCCAGACTATGCTGTTCAGAGCCTTTTGGACTGTCAGCTCACAAAATATACTTTCACTACTTTTTTTTCATTGTTACTTGAGCAAGATCACTGATATCAATGATGGTAACAACTTCCTATTTCCCCTTTATATTTTAAGGCCTGGTACTTATCTCATGACCTGGTAATTAAATCAAGCACAGGTGAAACTCAGTTCTTAAAGTTCTCAGTGTCTTAAGGGGGTCAGAATACCTTGGAATACAGATGGAAATTTTTAATAATGAAGTACAAAAAAAACTATGAAAAAAGGAAGACTGGATTAAAATAACTGAAATAATTTAGAGTAGAACCTGTATCTAGCCAGTGTTGCAAACAGGAGTGCACATCTGTGTTACACAGCAGTTTGAAGGTAGATGCTGATTCCTCTGAACTACAGCTGTGCGTAACATCAGATTGCTTGAAACAGTGCTGCATGTAGATGTAATTATGTTTGCAAATAGTTTAACTTGCACTGAGTCACTATATGCAGGATTTTTTCTGAATAATATTTAATTTTTAGAAGGTGTTTCACGTTTGCCATTAAAAGAAGTGAAGTCAAGGAGCTATGATGATATTATTAGTGCTTTTCCAACACTGGAAAAATCAGAGGGATTGATTTAATTTCATATTACTGATACTATGAATTAAGGCTTAGTTCATCCTATTACAAGTGGGTTTCTGAAGCAACTACATTCATATTTTAAGGAGTTATTACAACATAAAATATTATTAATAATAATACATACTAACCAACTGAGGAATTACTTTGCTCTCTGATGCATGTTGTTTCACTCTGAATAATCAGTAGCTTTTGAGGTACTTCTGTGATAGGGAATAAATTCCTGTCATTTCATAAAAGACAAGGCCACTTTACAGGGAAGTAAGGAAACATATATAATGTAACCATGAAAGAACTGTCAGGCACTTTAAAGACTATCACAGTACAAAGACTAAGCTGTCCATCATTTTGGACACACTCAAGCTTCATAGAAGTGATGCCATGTGAGGAAGTTTCCTTAGCTCCCAAGCACTTTGTATAATCCGTACTAATTTCAAAAAGCTTCCATTTTGCAGCACTTGCATCTAATTTGATGTTTCTTTAGCTTCATTTAGTAGAAGGCTGATAACTACAGTAATTTAAATTCCCAGAAAAATATCAGATTGAAAACTATTCTTCTATTTCAATTTTATTTTTCCTTGGAAGATATATATATATGTATATAGTTATATATAATTATAAAGTCAAATAACATATTAAGCTTCGTATTCCTGCCGGGGACCAAACTGCTAGAACGAATAGCCATAAACAGCATGGAAATGGAGCAGCTATTCAACAGAGAGGCTTTCAACAGCATATAGTAACAGGAAGAAACAGCTTAGAGCAAGACATATATTTTAAACAGTATTACTGAGAGAGTAGTAGACATTTAAGTACTGTGAAATGAGCCACAGACATTTCTAGATGCAGAATCAGAGGCTGAGCTGAGGCTTTCAAAGTTGGGACTGAAAATGGTATACTGCTGGTGATGCAAAAAAAGACCAAATAAAAAAACTCCAAACAAATAAACCTGCTGGTCTGAGAATGCAGCCCATAGGAATTATTTACATGCAGGAATAAGCTGAAATAGAACTCAGTTATGACATGATCAGCAATCACTTTGGTCTTCATACTTCTTTTATTAATATACTACTATTAGCTATGACAAACATTTTATAGCCTTACAAATGTGAAATTTTGCTTACTTCTTCTGCATTTGAATCAAAGTAATATTAATGGTTTTGGCCTTTGAAGGTTAAGACACTCATTTAGATTTGCTAAAGGGAAAATGAAGCAAAATGGAGGAGGGTTTTATAACATCCTTACTTGAAAGACTCTGATGGATAGCACAAAAATATACACAAAATATAAGCAAAAGAACACAGCAGAAAAAGAAGCTAAAGAGAAGAAAACCAAAACTAAGACCTAATTTTAATTACAAAAATAACTATTTTCACACTAAGAACAGGTGAGAAGTGGAGTAGGGAACTGAGGAAAGCTGTGTATGCAAAATTATTTGGTACTCAGGAAATGGTGTAATAAGGAATTTGCAAAATACCAAGGTAGAATGGATTTTTTTTCCTGCAACACAGTAGAATTTTTGTATATAATCTTTTGATTGTGTAAAAAGTTCTGAACAGGTTTTGGTACTGTATTATTAGCACAGTATCAAATAGCTTCAATCTAGAATTCTCATTAAGTGATTAAAGAACCTCATGAAAAAAAATCTAAGTCTTTTGATTGTGACAGAGTGCTAACAGCATTAAGTCATAAAAGACTTTGTGTTTATTAAAGTGCAACATGTATTTCCCAACCAAACTATGAAGAAAAGTCAAAGAAACGTAAGACATTTCACAGACAAAACCAACACAGGCTCATCATAGAACACGGGATTTTTATTAACCAATGATATTTTGGCAGAATGAAAACTGTAAAAGCCCTTTATGTTAATTTAAAATATGGAAATATATGAATGTGTAGGTCTATGATAACTTTTAAAATTAAAATTCCATACAAATATTTAAAAATAATATATTTTTTCCATTAAACATAGAAGGAAAAATAATGTCAACCAGAAACAGAAACAAACAAACAACCATTAAATAATATCAACAGAATCTCATAGTACTGTTTTACAGACTGCCATAACTCTTCAAAGTAATCCAAAGAAATTATTTACCCAGTAATCTCATAAAAAAATCCCAAACAGAATGTTGCCTGATATTCTTCAGAGACAAGAGTGGTTTTATCTAAAGGCTATGTATCTTTTTTCAGTCAGTGCACAAAGATTGAATTTGAAACAATCAGATTCTTATTGCACAGAAGTTACAAAACCTCAACACAATTAAAAAAGAAAATATAAAAGAAAAAATCAGAGAATGTGGGGAACTGTGGTACTAAAATAAAATGTTGAGGTTATGCCTTGAATATTCTTAAATTATATGTAATATTTGCCTGTTAATTAAGAATAATATTTTAACTAATTGATGGCTTTGTAGACTAAGACCACTAAAATCACCAGTGACTTTGTCCAATCAGAGATTAGATACATTTTATAGCTTTCTTTTCAGACCATACCTTGGGGCAAATACCTTCTCTATTGTAAATTCTGATCCAAGTTGATTTTAAAGTTGCCTTTTTAAGTGTGTTATCTCTTAGAAGAACTATTCTCATTTCTTTCTTTTTAAATCTAGGTTATCATTATCAAAGTAATCCTAGACTGACTAGAGTATGCTCAGTGAAAAAGCTTTTCATTGTCTCACATAGAACTGTGCTTTTCAATACTCTTCAACAGTGCATTACTTAACCTTCAAGTTAATAGTTTCCTCCTTTTCTCATTTTTGTTATTCTTTTAAAGTCTCTAATTCAAGTGCTCTGTATGATATTGCCAATTATGTTTTAAAAAACTTATTTCAACAGCGTATAACAACTAGCCTTGCAGTGTACTGTTATTAAAATCAAATGGATAACACCACACAATACAAAATTCAATGTATTATTAGTCCTTCAATTTTTATAGTGGTCAGTAGTTTTAAAAAATAGCATCCTGAACAGCAAGACACTCATAAACAAATTCACAATGAGAAAATGATCAGATAAAATATCCAATTTTAATACATGAAGCAGAATGCTTTTTTAAATAGAAAAATGGCCAAAGCATGGGCTTTGGCAGTATTACAGAACATGTAAAATTTTCAAAAATAGTCAGAGTTTTAATCAATTTTTTTAAATTATAGTTTAAATTTTCCCCAAATCAGTTTGAAGTTCACACAGGTCAAACTGCTTGTGGAGATGTCTGTATGGTTTTCTCACAAGAATCTCTGTGCTTTATCGGAAAGGAAAACCAAAACTGCAACCCTGTTAAATAAATGCAGCTCTTGATGTAGGGTCCGGGTCATGACTCTCTACAATGTTTACTTACTTTTTAGAGCAGGCTGATAGCCAGTGTAATGGTATTACCATGGTTGCATGGAATACAATTACATAAACCTACTTCAGATAATTAGAAAAGACGGTACAAAGTGCAAGGCTTTAGGGATAGAATCTTTCTTTTTTTTCCTAAACCATTTCTATGTTACAATGCAATTGCATTGTTCTGCTTGCACTTATCCTTCAGATAAAGATAATACCCTGGTAATAAAAAGATGTAAATTCACTCAGATGCTGTTTGATCAAATTATGGAAGTACCCTTAACCATACTTGGTGCTGTTACATGATCATTTTATCTCATTTCTTGTTATTCCAATAGATTTACTTTATAGATATTGCTTCAGCGTATTTCATAGAAAATGGCTATGCATGACCAGCCCTGGAACAGAAAAAGAGTTATTAATCTCTCAGCCTTTACTCTTCCATTAGATTTTTCTGAGCAACAAAACATCTGTTCTCCTCTCACACAGATTTTTATATACTGTTGATCCTCTTGCTGAAACAACATCAGATGCATCACCGATTAAGAACTTTGATTGCCTATATTCTCCTGTTAAATTGATCAGCTCTACACAGAATCTGTAGAGCATGTACAAAAACTTTTTTTTTTTTTTTGCACTCTTAACCATGGGAAAGAAATAGCTTTTTTTTTTTTTTTAAATTAATGATTTGGCAAACAAAGCCCAACGCTATAACCTGGACAAAGGCAGTTTCTTATCTTTTGACTTATGTGGGCATTTTGAAGACTAGTTATATGCAGATATAAGCAAAACTACTTTTTATACATTATACCTTTCAAACAACAAATATGAATGCTTATGTTAGAAAAAATATTATTTATTTGTGTGCTACTTTTTCAAAGAAGTGGGATTTGACGGTTTTACTTTTTTGGGATTGTTTACATGTTTAATGTAAATTAAGAGAATTCTGAACCCTGCTGAAATCAAGAAAAAGAATACAAGTTAATAAGTTCATATTAAACCCTCATATAAAGTGCATTGACATGATGGAAAATTAAAAATAAATAAAAATTCTACCACTATTGTTGATATCCATATACATTTAAAAACTACCCTACTAGGACCTTTTCAATGTGACAAAAGCAGGCTCAAATCCTGCAATGTATTTGTTTATGCAAGTGCTTAAGTAATTTTGACCAGTTTTGGGTAGATGTAAACCAGCTCTAAGCAGCTGGAGCCCTCACAGTTAGGAAGGGAACATTTTCTGTGAATGTACTTACTACTACACCAGCAGCACAACAGTTCTGGGAGAAAATATTAATTTAATGGTGAGATATTAAAAAAAAAATATCCAGCAGAGCCTTCTTAAAGCAGAAATAACACAGGAGTGCAACCTGTCTACTTAGTCATCACAAGTCCACGCCTAAAAGAAATGTTTATAAAATCCAGAAAGACACAGAAAGGGTCACAACACAGAATATAAGGAGATGTAATTTGTGCAATAGAAAAATCTTCTCAGCGGAGTATTTTCTGTTCTATAACCTCTGTGTGTTATAGCACAACTTATATTTTTTTCCAGGTATTTATTTCAACATTTTGTTAGATGTTACTCTACTTATGACCTATGTAGATAATACAAAGGCTTTTAAGGGGATTTTTGCTTTTGAATGAGAAGGTTAAAAAAAAGTGCATTCACCATTGATTGTGATCTGGCATTTTTGCTAGGTAAAATATATTCTTGTCCTTTTTGTGAACTAGGAAAGATTTCCAAATTCAGAGTGCCCTGTGCGTACAGTGAGACTATTTCGGATTAAAGGCCACAATCCCAATCATCAGGTGACTTAACTTAGTATACTCTAATCGAAGTCAATGTCATACCAATCAACCCAGTGGAGATATGGCACAACTTTAATGGCGTATAAATTACAGTACTGATTTGTAAATACCTTAGTTATATTGGTTTGCACCATATTTAACAGTTCAAAGTGAATCAGCACAGACAGAAATCACTACTTCCAAACTGGCTTTTAGAAAAGCGAAAAATACCAATTTTTAGGTAGTGACTGTAATGAACTTGTAGGACAAACATGAATATTTTGGTAAGTTTTCAAATGCTTATCTAATCATCATGTGAACATTTTAGTCTGGATATACACTCTCACAATATCCAGGAAAAAAAATCATGTAAGGAAAGCCCTTCTAACATTTACGCGCATGCACCTAATTTGGAATGAAAAGCAGTAAGAGTCTGTATTGAAGTAAAGGAATGTATTCTGGCTGTTTAATTTAACATATAGAACCCTGGTCTGTCTTGAAAGGTGGCAGAAATTGATGTTGCTGGATGATTTCATATGCTGCTAAACAGCCTAAATACCGGAGAGGTTTGTAGTAAGACTTCTCTTTCCAGTACGCACAAGCACACAGCTTGAGCTTCATTCACATGCACAAGGTACACCAAAAAAACCCTTTCCACTGCTCTGAAAGCCAAATGTAAAAACAGTACTGGACAAGTGTTTTCCTTCCATCTCAACAATTTATGACCAGTGCTGGCTCCAGTGTGTTATTGTACCTTATAAACAATGTCCTGTAGAAGCACTCTAGTAAGGGAAGTAAGGATAAGTCTAGAGATGATAAGCCATTTCAGGTGTGGCTCCATTAAATTACTAAAAAAATATTTAGGGCACAGATCTAAGGTTCCTTTTGCCAAGCGATTTTTTTAAAAAATGGGACAGACATTGCTTCAAATGTAAAGAGTATTTCTTCGGGGATTTTTTCCTCCTTAAATTGCCCTCTATCACACTAAAAGACGTGGAACTAACAAGAAGTAATTTTAAGCAGAAACTTTGCAGTTATGCTTTGTTGTACAGAAACAGAAAATAAAAAAAAAGGGAAAAAAGGTACATCCACGGAAAAAAAACAATAAATGCCTTTTCCCCCTGGTGTCATGTCTTTGGATATGTACAGCCTTGGAGAAATGTATAAATCATTTTATACATGGAACTCTTAAAAAACTAGAGATTTTTAGTACAAAGGAATCAATTCACTGCAAGAATGTCCACATGCTGTTGCTTTATGATTTACTATATACACAAGAGGATCAAAGAAAGGACCCCTGTTTTACAGTTACTGCTGTACTATACATTAACATGTGGCTAATACCCTTCCCTGGGTGAGATTTACACTTAGTATTACAAATAACAATGCTGAAAATACTGATACAAAACAGCTTCAAGATGACAGTTTAAAAATATTCTTCACTTTCATTGAACTGTTTTCTCCAGGTTTTTTTTTAAGTTTCAGCTCTATAAAAGATTCTCCAAGAAAATAGTAGCATTTAAAATGTTATTTTTGAAATTTATAGATGGATTTTTTTTTTTAATAAAGTGTAATCCAAAAGTCCATTTTTTCCAGGAAAAAAACAACTATTGATATAGTACATATGCAATGGTTTGGGGTGGGTTTTTTTGACTACTTTTTTTCTTTCTTCCTTTTTTTTTTTTTTTTTTTTAATGCAGTATAGTACATGAGTATCCTGGAAAAAAAATCCTTGATTACAGCGTATGTTTGATTTATTTACAGATCTGAAATATAATTGCATACATCAACTTTTGAGACAAGCAAGACTGAAATGAATTGTTACTAAGAATCAACTGTCCTCTGAATCTACCATGACATTAAGAGATTGTTCAGAACAAAAAGTGATTCTCAGTAGCAAAATTCTCTTACTGTTATTTTTAATTTTTTTGGTAGACTTTAAATTATGAGCTGCAATGAAGAACTGGGAGTCTCGAATACCCACAGTTAATGCGGTCAAGCTGTGTTTGCAATTTTTGCACATTCTGTTTTGGCAGTAGCAATGTACACATGAACATGAAGAATTTTGGCAAACATTTGTCTTCATTCTTATGTATCCATCTCTGGATACCCAAAATTATCACTACAGAATATTTAGACACAACCTGCTCTCTTCAACATCAGATAATGTAATAAAATTGGCTCTAACCAAAATAAATTCCTCAATAAACAGAAGCCTGAAATTTCAGAATATCTGCCAAGCTCATAGTCTTTTTTTTTTCTTAATCTAACCAACCCTTGTGTTAATCTAAATATTAAGTAGTGAAGCAGATATATTTAACACTAGGTAAAATTGGATCATTAATTCATTTTATACGCTCTATGTGACTTACCTTTCAAAAGTTACAGATTTTTAGTGGCTATAAAAACTTTGTTTTTCATTATATGCTATTTCTGTTAAGTCACACTAGCCTGTGTCTTTGCGTGAGAATGTGCTGCGCCCCTGGCTTTCTTTAATTAATCACCAGTTATGAGAGAGGGGAGTTGTCTCAGATCTGCTTCAATCGTACTTACATGTGCCAGATTATTTATAAACTACTAACTGTATGTCCTTTTATAATTCAAACAGATTACCCTCCATCAGAGAGATTGTAAACTAAGTGTAGTGTTTAGTATATGCCACGTGTTTGGAGTAACTTGACTCAGATGCCTGTTTTCAAGACTTCTGAGAGGGGAAAACCAGATCTTTTGCTACTGACAGGTCTGCAAGTTCTATGGTGTGATCAGATGATTTCACACCCCTGTGAGACCAGGCATTAAATTAATCTCACTTGTGTGTAATATGTCAAGACTAGCAAACCTGATGAGTTGGTATAAACTGGGTTCTTAAGTGCAGATGACACAGCCTACAGAAATTTCGACTTATGCAGGTAATTTGGCCTGGGTAATAAGACTCCTCTTTTGTCTTTCACCCATTTTTGATGGCACCAGGCACTCATAGAACGCATACAGCAGGAAGTGGTAACACGTCTACAAGTCAGCAAATATCACTGTTTTAAAAAAAGTGTAAAAAGAGGGTCCTTTAAGATTTCTGACTCCTTATTTCCCTAGTCTCTATAAAATTCAAGAGGGTTTAGTAATTACTTATCTATTCATTCCTCACATCTACTTTAACAGTAATATTATTAAACATACATGATATTATTAAAGATCATCTTCTAGAACTTTCAGGAATGATAGTGACTTATAGAGGGGAAAAAATACTTTGCCAATATTGGACTAGCAGTGCCAGTCAAATGGTCCCATTTATTATACCCATGGTGACTTCTGCATGACAAATCAGGCTAGTTATTTAACAATCTCATTCATCCTTTTGCCTCAGTCCCAGATGGGAAAGTGTGGAACCTACAGACAATGTTAAATTTTTCACTTTATTTTTTTCACATGAAAGTAGCAACAACATGAGAAGTGAAGACTGAGTTCTAGGCGAGCTTACGTTCCTCCTTAATCAACTCTCCTTCCACGGCAAGAATATGAGCACCTTGTTAGCCATCTTGCTGACCTAAAGTCTGTAGCTCTGCTGTGTGTAAATTGTGGTGGAGGAAAACATTTTTCCTGCTATACATGTGTAAAGAGATGGGTCCCCTCGGAGGCTGTCCAAGTCTCCCTGTGAAGGTGGTGTGCTGCCGAGGTACAGCAATTTGGTCTTTTGGAGCCCCTGAGAACATTGGATAGCTGTCTGCCTTGGACGCTGGCTTGTCTGTACTCGGTGCCGTGACAGCCAAACCATTCTGGGTGACCTCTGAAGCGAGGGTTTCATACGTGCCTCTAGTATGCTTGATGACTTCCACGATCTCCTTCTCTTTTAGGAGGTTGCTCAGACACAAATTAGACAGCTGACAGCTCTTGCTTTCGTAGGCTGCTGCTTGGTTGCCTGATGGGTGTCTAAAAGGGTCCTCGGTGGGAGTATGTGCTGACTTTCTGTCCCTTGTGCTGAGATTTTGGCTCACTGTTCTGATTGGATATGTAGTCTGGGGAAACAAAACGAAAGTATTAGTAAAGAACACAGTAGAAAAATGATGTAGAGTATATAAGACACTTGTCACTACACATTTCTGTAGACCTAGCACATGGGTCTGGCAGACTAAAATGAAAGATGACTCTCAACTGCTGGTAAAACTTCCAAGACACTGCCAGCATAAAATAGAAGTATTATTCATTCATATTTAGCAGCATTAACATTGAAAAATTCTTACTATAGGTAATGATTTGGGCATTTTCTTTAAAAAACAGTTTAGACCAAAGGAGGACAATTTTTTTTAGAACATAATAACTGCATAAAAAGTTTCCATGAATTGTAAACAGATTTTCAAAAGCATTTCACATGATGAAACACTGAGAATTTTCATTGCATACAGCTCAACACTTAATACTCTCAAAAAATCTAAATAACATGTTTTATAAATATCTTCATGCCTTGGTTAGGCTTAGAACATGCTCAGTTCTCACTGTCCCTTGAATTCAGATGTTTTGTTGCATATTTACAGGTCAAATACAGAGTAATAATTTTATTTCAGCTGCCTGGTAAAAATACAACATAAGAAGGATTCCTGCACGTTACCAACTTCTGATGCTGTGTAATCATGCATGCATTTGATTTGGTTTAAATGATGGTAATCTATCTGTACATGGCAATGATCACTGCAGTTTTTCAGCGTGTAACTAGTGTGATACTTCATATTGTCTTCCATAGAACACCTGACTGGGGACGAGATGGTGGTACACTTTCCCTGGTTAAAGCAACTAGTTAATCTGCAACAAAAGTCTAATTTGACTCCATTTAGGTTTTCTGCAATAGAACTCTAAAAGGACATAGTAGCATTCTTGACATTTACGTTAATATATGGGCTCTGATGTTGCAAAATAAAGCTGAGAGAAGAAAAAATACTACCAAGCCTTACAACAATATTTTCTAAAAATATTTCATGATGTTTCCCTGATTCTATAGGAAACTTGGATACCTTGTTTTGGAATGAGTTACATCACTTCACATGCATTTCTATTTTAAGCAACATAGAAGAATGATACAGCTCAAATCCTTTTTTTAGTGTAGGAAGGCTAATGGTCATGATTCTATGCAGGGCTGGATACAAGGATTGCAGTGCATTTTAGGCATCAGAGATAATACTTTAAAAAATTATTAGTACTGGAGCATCAATTTTTCTTCCACTTTATTCAGTGTTGATTGCATCCAGATTCATAAATGGGAGTAGAACACTTCTGGAAAACATTATTTCAGTTTTTATGCTAACTGGACATGGACATGAAATGAAATTCCATTTGATTCCTAGGGAATCATTCTCGGGGATACCTGTCTGTAAGTTCAACCACTTTTTAACAGGTAATTTATCTATCTGTCTATCTACCTATCTATCCATCCATCTATCTACCTATGCCAGTAAATAAAATCTTCCTACTTTGACAAAAGAGTCAAATTTAATGCCCTGCCAAAAATCCCTGCATTTATTATAAGGGAATGTTTCTGGAGTTATCATATGTCACCCTATGCCCTTTGACAACCTAAAGATTGATACAGAACCTTAGAGGAACCTCATTGTGGGACTTCTAGTCTATTCTCTAGATTCAAGTCTATTCCTTCTCTCTCTCCCTCTCTCTCTCTCTCTCTCTCTGCCATGGAAATGGTGAAAGAATTGCTGTTTGATCTTGAATACCTGTTTATGTCTTCAAAGAATGCTGTCAAGCAACCCCTTAATCTTCTCTGCTCTAGAATAAAAGAATATCATGTTGATCTTTTCTCATAGGATTCATCTGCTTGACTATGAGTCATTCACACTTGTCTGCTCTATAGATTCCCTTCAATAATTCCACCATTTTTTACCTTAGGCAGAAGGCCCAAGAGTACAGTACTCAAAGTAATCCCCCACCATTATGAAGCAGAAGAAGCACAATTAATCCTATGAAGAACTTCTTCATCTTCTTCTTTTAATTACTCCAGGATGAGGTTAGTGATTTTATTTGGCAACAGCATGAAATTGTTCACTCTTGTTCATCTGGTTGTTCACATTAGTTCCACGATTTTTTCCTACAAAATTATTTCTAAGTTCAGCTGATTATTTTCACTTAGACATAATACCTAATTTTTTATATTGAATTTCATAATTTTTCCTTTAATCTTTAATGTATCAAGGTAATTCTATTTATTAACCTGTTTTCTATTCCACCTAACTTCATGTAAACTATAAATTTAATACGAACAATTTCTAGTCCATCATCCTGGTAGTAAATGAACATTATCAAACACTATAAACCCCTACTTACTAGAGCCTTCTCTTTTTATACTAGGCTATTGGTAAGTAATTTCCAAGGACAGTTTTCCAAATTATGGAAATTACAATCTTCTCCGAAAACTCACAAAAACAGACACTGATATTGCATATTGATCAGTATATACTTGTTTTAATAAAATCACCTCAAAGCTTGTCCTGGTTGTATACACTACTCATTAAAAAGTCTAGGAATTAAGAACCATTTCTCTTCTTACAGCTGCTATTTATGTGCCATCAAAAGCATGTAATGTATCTGTTTAATCAGTAAATATCCTTGTTCTTGTCTTCATTCAGTGAGATTACTCAGTCATAAGCAGCATGACATGTGAATAACCAGAGTTTAAACATGTTGCTGTAGACCTTTGTTGCTTTGGCTACGCAGGTCACTTCCAGTGAGAAGCATGACCATTGCTAGAAGTCTTGGAGACAAGTTATCTTATAATCTTAAGAATTCTTTAGCAGTTACTATTGCCTCTTGAAACAGAATAAAAAATAAAAACTTGTAGGGAAAAAATTCTTTTGAAATTATTCCTACCAACCAGGAGGGTTTTAAAGTAAATAGAGAAGAATCAAATGATCCTGAAAATAAAAACTGCAGAAGCATGCTCAAAGCAAGGCATACTGTTGAAAATCAGTACTAGTAAAAGGTCAAGGCATGATTACATGATTTTTTTATAATGCTTTTTAACTTGATCTTGATGAAATGCTGTTATGAATATCTAGCACTGTGGTGTTTCTTTGCTCTTCCTTATCAAGGTTATATTTCACATGAAATATTTTCAATTTAGAAAATAAATGTTGGTTTGTAGGTCTACAAAATACTGGCTTCTGGTTCTTGGGCAATGGGGGCAGAAAGTTTGTGTCTACGTATCAATAAATATTTAATAATATATATGTGGTTAGGGAAGCTCTTAGTTTTGTGAAGTTGTAACTTGCTGAAATTCCTCTTCTATTAAATAATTAAACAAATACCAGGTGGTGAGAAATTAAGAGCTAATTTATCTAGATTTTAAAAATATCAAAAGAAATTCAGAATATGCCATCGGTATCCTAAGACATTGATTTGGCCATAACCCCAGCAATAAGGTAATAGGATGGTTAACAAGGAAAGACAGACTCATTCCACCAGATGCAAAGTTAGACATCAAATGAGATTTTAATAGAAACACTGCCAAAACCCCAATACTATTGTTGTTATCTATGAAATATTACTGAAGAACATCTTCTAACCAGGAAAAGACAGAACAGTGATCAGATGGGAGTCAAAATCAACAAGAAATCCTCTCCCTTGTCTTCACCTGAATAAAATTATTCCCCCTCCAAAATATTATCAATAAAAAGTCCAATGCTGGTTTGATTTTAATGCCAGTTATTTTTTGCTATGCTTCTAACATTCTTATAAAAGTCACAGAATACAGAATTAAAATTAGTTGTACATTCTTGTTCATTTAATGAATTCAGATAATTTAGCTTGAAAGAATACAATCCAATTGGGTTTTCTTGCTGATCCATTTTACAGTTATTTAGGATCTTTATGAACTGGTCAGAATGAGAAAAATGTCCCAGAATGAAATGCACAGAAGGAAAAACCACACATGCCATACCACCACCACCAATGAAAAAGTTGGACAAACTTAAACATTTATTTTTAACCTATTTCTCCTTATCTTCCTGTAAATGTTTAATGTAAAATTTTCTGCAATGGACTTATATGTACCAACTGCATTCTATGAGCAGTAGACATGAGCGAGCAAAGCCACAATCCCAATGCATCTGTTTGCCAATTTGAAGGCTGAGTCCTTGTCCAAAGCTGAACGTGGCTTCGTGCCAGTCGTGCTCCAGCCTAGCCTAGAGCAGCTGCAGGGCTGCTGTAAACTGCTGCTTGGCAGTGCTCCAAGGAGCCGATCTGCCAGCTGGTGATTGCTGAAGCAAAAAATCCATTCATCTCTTTCCCTTTTATTTTTCAGTAGCTCAGCTAGAACCAACAACTCCTCTGCCCCAGAAATCCCCAGTACCACTCTATAGTGTGCCTAACTGTGGGCCCAGGAAATGGGTTGCAATTAGGATGCAAATGGGGCTGTGAAATTTCTTTCAAAAGTGGCCCATTTTAAATTTATGCAGAGGGGGAAAAAAAAGGCCTCCTTTGTTGTTTCATATGTGTCTTAACCTTTAAGAAAACATCTGGATTTGAATTTCCTAATCATATTAAGCACACACACACACACAAAGTACATGCTTTCATGATTGAGTCTATTTTTCAAAAAAAAAAAAAAAAAGGCTTTATTAAAATCTGATTGGCTGTAAAAGTTTGACAGATTTGTATCATGATCAGTTATGTTTTAAGGTACATATATGCGAGAACTATCAAAATATTTTAGGTTTGATTATTCCACACTGCTGCTAAATACATCAAGATTAAAGCAAAATGAGAACTTAATATTCTTAAAGTATATTTTCCAGAATTTTTTTTGAGGGTTCCTCTTTTTGATTGTCATTCTATTAACTTTTTCTAACATTAGGAAAAAACCCAAGCCTCCTCCTTAATGACCCATCACGAAGTAAAGAAAACGTATTACTCTCAGAGAAAGCTCCAGAATGAGACACTATGAACAAAACACTGTAGTCATTCATCACGTTCCATTTTCAAACCCAATGAGTGAAATATGACAAGAGTTAACAACAAG